TTAGAAATAAGTTAAATCAGCCTTGCCCAAAAATACATATGTAGTATATATTTATCTTCATATTTACATGCTAATTTGATGAGCGATATTTTGCGAAATGTGGCCCGTAAAGTGGGAGACAGAGACCGATACATTTCATTTTCAGATTAAACGTAGGTATGATAAAACAAGTAAGAACGTGTCAGTCAGTATACCCTCAGTCTATGATTTGCGGAGGTCTTCTAAATAACACACAGGTTTTATTATTCGCTTTATAGAAGGTATAGAGTAACTTCGGGTAATGTGGACCACCATTTTCTTTTTTTGATATTGTGGGCGTAACAACGGTAAAAAATAAAAACAAATTGTTTTCACAGCATGGTAGATTTGTTGGCTAATTATATTCCAGGTCAAAAATTATATATATTTGTCCATAAAAATGTTATTGCATTATATTTCAAAAAGCTCTAAACTGCGAATAAAAATAACTTGGCGGGTAATGTGGACCAGTATGTGTGGGTAATGAGGATCAGTAAGTTAAATGTAGGTTGTGGATTGGTTGTGATAAATTTCAATTTATTGCACTCCTGGGTAACAATAAATGCAAAAATAAATGGGTTTATGTTTTGGAATAGCCCCCATTTAAGGGTACCACCCCATTTGCGGTATTTTGAAGGTCCTTGCTTCATTATCCAACCGAGGCACCTATAATTTCGGATATCGAGTTTTCAGAGGATAGAATACCTCCTCGCATATTAAATGCGCCCTTGTTTCGAACTCGTCCTCATGAAAATGTTCCACTTTTTTATAGTGGTCCACATTACCCGACATTGAATATTTTTATTTAAAAATAATTATCGGCTTCAAAAATGAATAAAAATGTAAAAATAACCGAAAGCAATTACAGATAAACGTGTATTTTTGTTAAAGAAAACAAGAAAACCACATAACCTCTTTATATTCGAGAAAAACAAAATGTTCGACTATTTTACAAAATCGTTCGACTATTGTGCTAAAAAAATTTCAAGTCACACTTTTAAGATCAGAGCTACATTTTCACCTACTAAATTTTCAACATTGCAATTATTTATTAAAAACCAAGTTTGATGTTTGTTTTCACTAATTAGGAAAACATTTATCAAGGCGGCATTGGCATATTTCAAGCATTTTCTTAGATATGGGGGGTGGTCCACATTTGACGCATGGTCCACAATACCAGAAGTTACTCTATGTTTTTCTCATATAGAAGGAATAGACCAATGGGCCCCATCTTTAAAGATATTGGAAATATAAATATAAAAAAATTGACTATTTCCGTGGGAGGTACCAGAAGGATTCGACCAATGACTCAGATCTTTGGACTTGATCTAGGCTTGGTAAAGATAGCAGATTATACAAAGTTTGTTTCAAATAGCATAGTCCGTTCACATAAAATTAAAAATTAATTTTTTGCACAATTTTGTAACTTTTTATGGATGGGGTTCCAGAGGTGTGGGCCGATCTTCGAACTAGAACTAAGTTTGGAAGAAATATTACGATGTGCAAAGTTTCGTTGAAATCTGTTACTCCCTTCTAGAGTTATCGTGCGCACCAACCGGTCAGATCTTTATAGGGAGGTTACCGTAAAAAGATAAGATAAGAAATCGGTGGCAGCGTAAATACTTCGAAGAATATTATTAACAAAAAAACTAAAGAAACTGATGATGATCTCTGATCTCGCCACTGATCAAAAACTATAGGCTTCCCTACCTTACCCCTTGGAGTATAATGTCATACTTTCCTCATTAACTCTTTGTGGCCCAATGTTGCCCACATGCAACAACATGTTTTAGAGCTTATATTTTATATGCAGCTAGTAGAGATGTATTATTTGGATTTCATATGTCAAGACCTGATTATGGACGATACATATCAAATGAAAAATCAAAAAAATTCAAAATTTTGGTAAAGTTATGAGCTTTTTAATATAGAGAAGAGGGTAAATTTGTGTACTGTACTAATTTGTGTATACAGTCCAAATTATTTAAATCGCTTCGTATTCAAATTGTACAAATTCTACCCTCAGAATTATTTTTGATTCTTATAAAACGGAATATAGAGAATAATTTAAAATGAGTTTTCTGACGATTTGGTTTTCTTAATATGATGCAAGGATATATGGATGTCAAATTTTGTACATATCCTATTTAGGATAGTCGCATTAAATCTTTGAACAGAAATCTATTCTAAGATTGCGGAAAAAATCCGGGGTTCCAGGGTTAATAAATAGTTTACAATAAAAAAAACAAAAACAAAACCCTTTAACAATACTAAAGAATATTAACAGTTTAAAAGGTCGGGGCGAATTGTTTATACCCTACTACATCGTGGATTGTTCTTCGTGCCTTCAAAACTTCTTAATAAGGTGGATATCTCTATATGCAGACAATGTCATTGTAAATTGTCTCCTTTTAAAAAATTAAATACTATATTACAGACCCTCAGGTTGGAATTCTGGGGTAGAAACATCACATCACTGAAAATTAAGCGGACTATTGTAAGGGGGATTTAAAAACATAGACCTATATTGAACATTCTCATTCTGGACCGTGTTGCGGATGCATTAAAACATCCCAACTAAACTCCCGAAGTTTCTGGAGAGCCATTGTAGATGTGTGTGGCTTAGCGTTGTCTTGGTGGAACACGACACCTCTCCTGTTGGCCAATTCTGGCCGCTTCTAATCAATTGCTATCTTCAAATGGTCCAGTTGACAGTAGAGATCAGAATTTAGCGTTTGGCCATATGGAATCAACTCATAATAAATAATCCCCTTCAAGTCACACCAAATGCTTAGCAGAACTTTTCTGGCCTTTAGTCCTGGTTTGACCACCGTTTGAGGTGCTTGACCGCTCTTTGATTTTTCGTATGTGATCCATTTCTCATCTCCTGTCACCATCCGTTTAAGCCATAGGTCTATCTCATTCCGTTTGGCTTCGCAGATGGAAATTCTATCCATCCTATTTTTCTGTTAATTATTGTGGTACCCAAGCATCGAGTTTCTTTTTGAATCGAGCTTTGTGTAAATGCTTTAATATAGTTTTATGGTCAATTTTTAGCTCCTGTGCGATGTTACGACTTCTAGCATGCCGGTGAACTTCGATCATTTCTCCAATTTTATCGACATTTTCGACGAAAAAATAATGGATTTATTTTTCCCCAACCTAATGCTATGTCGATTTAGGCATATCCGTCGGTCTACTAAAATTTTTATGAAGCTCACAATATTATGTATACAATGAGATTTATAATAATTCATAATCGTATATTCCGATATATTTTACAAAATAAAGTTTTACGAAATAGAAGGTTCATCTCCTCGGCCGTCAATACATTTACCTTGTAATTTCATGTTTTCTTTTGTCAACATAATTTTCTCTGGCATTTTTCTATCCATTGTCTTCCGATCTGTTATTTTTATTTCCGTAGGACAACATGGTTTGCTGGGACCAGATAATAAACGCCAATTTGCATGAGGTTCCAAATAATCAATACCCTCGCTAATATACTGTCCGGCCAATTGAGAACAAAATTCAGGATCATTAGAAGCTCTTTTTAAATCCTTATTAAATTTAGCTTCCTCTTCTGATTGTATCCTTTTCAATTGTTGTATCTGATTATCCAATTCACGACGATGTCTTTGTCTTTCCTCAATAATTTCTTGACGTGATTTTTCTTCTCGAACAAAACGATTTTCCAAAATTTTACATTCACGCTGTTCCGCCTCTTCGCGTAAACGTCGTTCACATTGCTCCTGAATTTGTTTGAGTAGCTCAGCAAAACATTCCTCCGCCAAGCGGGCTTTACATTCCCTTTCACGTTGTATATTACGTTTGGTACAGTTATCAACACGATGTAAATCGTCGATGCGATTGTTATACATTTCGAGTTGTTGTCGCTCTATATCACGCATATGTTTAACATATTTGATGTAGTCAATTGTGGCTTTGTGCAAAGCTTTCTTTTTCTCCATTAAATCCCTGGCCTCTTTAGCATCCATTTCAGATATTCCCTTTAACATTTCTTGATGGCTTTCGATGTATTCTTGTTGTTCTTCTTGGTGGCGTATTTGCTTTTCTGATATCATATCAAGAAGTTCTCGGCGATATTTTAAAATCTTTGGAGAAATGCCTCTATGTTTACGATCGAATTCTTCCAAACGTATCTCTTCCAATAACACATCCAATTGTTGTTTTTCTTCCAATTTTTCTTGCCGTATTTTATCTCTCTTCTCCTCAAGTTCAACTAATTGAACTTTTAAAGTATCCGCAACGTGCCGTGTCAGTGATTTCATTAGGGATTCTTCCTGTCGTTGTTGTCTATCCATTTCTTCGATATTTTTCTGCTGCACCTTCAGCCAATAGCCCTCCTCCTGCTGTTGCCTTCTAAGGGCTCTTTCCTTTTCCAAGATCTGCTCCTGTTGACATTCTTTAACTTTTAACATTTCCCGATGCCGCACAGCTTCACGTATCTCATAGCAACTGTTCATGTACTGCTGTATGCGCTTGGTCTTCAGGAATTCCTGCTCATTTCTGGCATTTTCTTCTTTAATTTGTAGCAAAATTTCCTTGCGCTGTTTTCTGTCATCGTCCATACGTGATTTTACTTTATTCGCGAATTCCTCTTCATAGATTTTATCCTCACGTTCCAATAGTTCTTTTAAGGCATTACGTCGTTGATTTAATTCTTTGAGGGCAACTTCTTGCGCCTGGGAGACCATCGTTTTAATTTGGGCGAATAGAGATTTGCGATCGGTGTTGACAATGAAGGCATGATGATCCAATAAATGTTTCATTTCATTGGCTGGAGAATTTGGGTACATTTCAATGAAGTTTTTGAAAATGAAGTTTGATATGTTTGTTTTGAAAAATTTATTTCCGGTATTTGTTTTCTTTGAATTTTCATTCAAGTTTCAAAGTTTTGGGGATAGACAGTAAAGATCGAAATGGGATATTATTACACCCTTTACAATTAGAAAGAGAATCTGTCGGCATGTTAAAAATGGTTTAACTCCATATATTTCTATTTTGAAGCTTGAAGCTAGCATTTTACCGTTTAACAATCCGAAATTTTAAATTAATGTCACTTCAGTTAAATTTACTACGATTGATCCTCCTAAAAAACGAAAATAGGACGACTCGACTATTTTGAGAGGTTGTCATTATAAGTCTCAAACTACAGCATTCCGGTTACAAAATGCGACAAAGATATTCAAAATACAGACAATATTTCAACTTGGGTCTGTTTTTTACAGTTACTTAAAAAGTATTCTCCATCATCATTCCTCCCAAATTTCGTTATAATTTATTATTCATATCAAAAATTATTTTTATTAACTCTAGTGTCGTGGTAGGCCCCGTATATTGGTACCCTATATTTTTAGGTACATTTAATTTCATATTTTTGGTTCTCATTTCAAATTTCCTGAATAAAAATTTACCATGACATAGCTCCCATATATTAGATTGGGAAAAAAGAAATGATCGAAGTTGACGGGCATGTTAGCAGTCGTAACATCCCCCAGTAGCTAAAAATCGACAATAAGACTATTTGAAACCATTTACACAAAGCTGGATTCAAAAAGAAGCTCGATGTTTGGGTTCCACACCAATTAATATGAACATAATTGGATGCATCGAATTTCCATCTGCGAAGCCAAGCGGAATGAGATAGACCCATTTCTTAAACGGATGGTGACTGAAGATGAAAAATAGATCACATACGATTACCCTGTGCGAAAAAGATCGTGGTCAAAGAGCGATGAAGCACCTCAAACAGTGGCCAAACCAGGACTATTGGCCAGGAAGGTTCTGCTATGCATTTGGTGGGACTGGAAGAGTATATATGAGTTGCTTCCATATGGCTAAACGCTAAATTCTGATCTCTACTATCAACAACTGGACCGTTTGAAGATAGCAATTGACCAGAAACGGCCAAAATTGGCCAACAAGGGAGTTGTCGTGTTCCACCAGGGCAACGCTAGGCACATCTACAGTGACTCGCCAGAAACTTCGGGAGCTTAGTTGGGAAGTTTTGATGCATCCGCCATTAAAACTTCCCAAATTTTAATGCATCCGACTTGCCACCATGCGATTATCATATTTTTGTTAGCATTGCACACTTTCTTTAATGATAAACCTGTAAGGAAAGTCCAAAAGTCGGACGGGGTCGACTATATGATACTCTTCACCACTTTGGGTATGTACAAGTGATGTTAATATCTACAATACTGTGCAAAATTTTGTCTCAATCGGACAAATATTGGGAGTTTAGTACATCATTCACAAAAAATCGGACGAACTATATATGGAAGCTATATCTAAATCTGTACCGATTTGAACAAATCTTCGCAGACATCAGTCTGGACCTAATTCAGTACTCCGTGCAAAATTTTGTCCCAATCGGACAAATATTGGGAGTTACATAAAATCGGGCGAAACTTTATATGGGAGTTATATCTAAATCTGAACCGAATTTCTCCAATTTCAATAGGGTTCGTCCTTGGGCCAAATAAGTGAACTGTGCCAAAATGCATCCAAATCGGATCATAAATGGGACCTGTACTTTGTTCACAAAAATAAATGGACGGGCAAACTGACAGGTTTTAATCGACTCAGAAATTGATTCTATGCATATTTTCAAAAGGAACTATGGGTTTATCTCGATTCCTTTTGCCTGTTACAGACATATGCACAAAGACATAATAACCTGTACCACAGTGTGGTGAAGGGTATAAAAATGGTATCTAGGTAGGATTGTGAAAATAGACTATAAGATTTTTCGTCATTATTGTAGCCTCTAGAGCGACGAGAAAACCACACAAAAATAAAGTTTTTGGTCCATTTAATTTTCTTAATATAAACCGATCATTACCGAAAACAATTGTGGCATTCTTTGGCCAGAACTCCTTCTAAAAAAATCGTGACGATTGGTCCATAACTGTGTATAGTGTTTACAAATTATAATGGTCAGACGGACGGACACACATGTCTAAATCGATTCTGGTAGTTAAGATATGACGACTGGTGTACTAAATGGGTCTAGGAACAATATTTCGCGGCGTATATACATCAACGTTTGGGGTCAAACAAAGCTATACTACTCTGACAACTTAGTTGTGTAGAGTATAAAAAGGCAAAATAACATTTTGAGGGTCCGCTAATATTGAAATAAAATGGCAGGTCTTTTCATGGTGCTAATTCTTACAAATTATCCCTAACTTTTTGCTAATTATCTCTCGATTTATAACAGTTTTGCCTTCGTTGATACTTTTCCATCTAGGCTTATTTATGAGATTTATAGACACAATTCCATGATTCGTCAGTTATGACCTGTATCAGATCGGGGTGGTTGTCTTTTTTATAAAAATGATGTAACTTCTGCCCAAAATTTAAACATCAAGCAAAACATGTCCAAGATTTACTAGAGTGTGATTTGTGCTAAAAGTCGTTTAATCGTAAAGTGACGGCTTTTTAAATCGCCTTCTTATGTTGTTATACCATAACTATTTCTTAAACTTTTAAAATATTTGTGACTCAGCAGAATTTGCAAACATCATAACACCCAAAATTTCTGTTTACATAACCTCTCTCTCTTATTAAATGTTTTATCTGAATGCCCACATACAAGACAAACAAATTAAAATAATTTTAACTTTTTGACATATTCACAAGAATTTAAACACTATGACAAGACTTAAACAAACACGCGCCGTCGATGACAACTCTTTGCGAATCTCACCACTCACAACACCTGTGGCAATAACCCCGAAAAAAAAACTAAACAACAAACAAACGAATAAAATACAAAAGTACCGAAATGTTAATTTAATTTAAGAACAACACTTTAAAGTTGTTAACAAATTATATTTACCGTAATATGATAATTTTTATTAATTAAACAATCCATGGTAGTAAATACCGTAAATACAAATAATTTGTCATATTATATAATTTATTTAATGGGTGAAGTTATTTAAGAGATGGCAAAACATGTGTGAATAAGACATCTTGTTCTAAAGAACAATAAAGTTTTTTGAACAATCACTTCGTGAATGTCGTAGAGGGTTGAGTTCTTCTAAATGAATGATTTTTAATATGGAGTTAACTATTTGAATAAAAAAATTAATTATACCCTACACAACTATGTTGTCAGGGTATTATAGCTTTGTGCAGCCCCACGAATTTGTAACGCCGTGAAATATTGGTCCTAGACCCACCTTTAAGTATACCGACCGTCATATCTCGACTAGCTGAGTCGAAGTAGACATGTGTGTCCGTCTGACCATTATAATTTGTAAACACGATACAGGCCACAGTAAAGGAAGGGTTCGGCCCAATGTAGACCCCTATTGTTTTCGGTAAAGATCGGTTAATATTTAGGGGATGAAATGGACCAAATACTTAATTTTTGTCGGTTTTTCTGGTCGCTCCAGAGGCCGCAATTATGGCCGAAACATCTCGAATTTTTACATGGATAATGGGATTGGACCAAAGAACAAATATGTTTGTTTTGATAAAGATTGGTCAATATTTAGCGGGTCAAATGCACCCTGACTTTTGTGTGAAAAATTACAAAATTTGTATTCTACAGCATATTTTACTGCTGAGGGACATAGAGTAGACAAGTTGATAGCATATCCAAGAGGAGTGGTTTACCTTTAAATGGATACCAATTATATTGTCGTATGTACTCGGATGTGGGAGTTACACGGAAATATTTACAGGTACTTACGTATTCAGATATTATTGAAAGAACCATTACCACACTAGAAAGCGGAAATATAGCGCGGATCGCTTTGAAATGTTCCATAAGGTTCCAGTTATGGTCAAGGACAACGCCTATAATTTTCGGTGCTGATGAGATAATAATTTTGGGATGAAGTGGACCAAAAACTTGTTTTTTGTATTTTTTTTTTTTTTTTTTTTTTGATTCGATCTATAGGCTACAATTATAAGCCGAAATCACAACACAAACCAACGGTGAAGGGAATGTGGACAAGTAATTAGAAGAACTGTACTGAGCATTTGTAATATTCGGAAAATATGTCAGTGTAAGGAAGATGTGCTGTTGACCTCTAATCAGGAAAGAGGGTGCAACTATTACGAAATATTAGCCAGGCTCGGAATAAAAAAAGATAGAGTTCTGTGGTAGTTGTGTAGGGTATCGTATGGTCGGCCCCGTCCGACTATACTTCTCCGCTCACTGGTTTATTTATTTGTTCTCAGGACGAACCCTCTTGAGCCCACTGTTTGTCCGATTGAAAGAAAATTTTAAGGCTAGAATGACATATGTAATGTAATCGGTTCATATTTAATATAGTTCCTATATATTTTCGTCGTATTTGACGTACATGGCAAACTCCAAAGTATGTCAGATTTAGGCAATCTTGCGCGGCATACTGAATTGAGTCTAAAATGATGTTTGATAAAATTCGATTAGCTGGGTCCAGATTGAGATATAACTACAATATATATTTTCGATGTACACGAAATTTTGCACAGCATATGGAATTGAGTCAAAAATAATGTGTTCGATGTAATCGGTACAGATTTAAACATATCATCCATATATTGCGTGCGGACTTTATGTAAATTTTGCACCAAAGATCCTATGATTGTTCGATTTACACAAAATTGTGCATAGCGTGCTTAAATGGGTACAAAATGATATGTGTAAAGCTTCTTTGAATTCATACCTTTCAGATATACCCCTTATATATTTGGATCGATTTTATGTAAATAGTACACGAAACTCTGAAAGGTTTGACGAATTGAGGCGAAATGTGTTAGAGCGGACCGTATTAAATCTAGATGGTTCTTA